GGGTATTTAAAGGCGGTATGATATTACATACAAACCACAGTAAGCCATGGTGGAATGGTCACAAAAGAGTATAGCCAGAGTTGGTAAACAGCTTATAAGACCATTTATACAGGCTGGCGCAGGCTGCTGATGGTAGCCCAGGGGGGGGGGCTTGCCACTCCCTGACATTTTATGGTAGGCTTTGCCTCCTGCATCAGTTGGGTTGCTGGCCTTACAACTAATCTCTAGATGACAGAGATCAGTTCCCCTGGAGAAAATGGCCGCTTTGGAGGGTAGAGTTTATGGCATCATACTCTGCTGAGGTTCCTCTCTTCTGGAAACCCTGTTCTCTCCAGGCTTCACCCTCAAATAGGTTTGCCAGCACCCCGGCAGGAGCAGAAGATCCCGATTTGATGGGCTCCAATGCACTGCTGGCCAGCTGGCTGGCGGGGGAAGCTCCACCCCAACACCCACCACCCGGCACAATGTTCCCAGCATGATGACATCATATGGAAGTGATGTCATCACGCTGAGTTGCTGAGCAGCAACACTCTAGTATTTTGGGCAAAACTCCGTGGTAATCATGGAGCTTTGCCCAAAATACTAGAGCATCGCTGAGCAGCATCTCTAGTGTGATGATGCCACTTCTGTGTGATGTCATCACACTGGGGACGTCATGTGCGGCAAGGTCACCCCGCCCCCACACTCCCAGAGCGCTTCCCCCACCCCCCATGGGGAAGTGAAGAGGACCTGGCAACCTTACCCCCAAATTTCTAGGAATTCCCCAACCTGAACTTAGTAACCCTATGCAGCAGTCATTTTGTGGCTGTACCCACCACCCTGTGTCAAAATTCCAAAGTCACCCACAGGCTCAAAAAGGTTGGGGACTACTATTCCTTTTGCATTATATGATGCTATCTGTTTGTACATACGTCTCCACGTACCCGGCTCTTTTTTTTAGTGTACTACAACAAAGGTGGGAACTGGGAAGGGAACACGAAGGCTTCACCACTTAAGTTTTACATTAGACAAGAAAAAGAAACCCTCAACTTTGTGATGATGGTGGTGATGAGGGGGAGATGGAAATAGGGATGGGGCTGCTGCTTCTGCCGCCTGTGGACTGGATCCCCGCAGCGTCCCCGACAGCCTTTTTATTCAGGCCTGCTGAATTCCCCTTCCTTATCACAGCCTGTATCGCACATGACATTTTGGGCCCACGATCCCCAGGATAGCATTTTTTTTGGTGTTTGAAAGGGACCCATTATTCCTTTTTCAGCTTCTGAAAAGCTGCCTAGATCCAGTCCGTTATGTGTATGCGTGTACGTGTGAGAGAGATTACACAGCAAGTAGAAGGACAAAAATCGCAAGCAGGTTTATGTGACGATGGAGGTTTGGTAGGTTAGAGAATTGTGCAGTGGGATTTTGAAGGTATGCTAAGAAAGATTTGGAAATTGTGTCCTGCTCTGTAATATATTATGTGAGAAAAACTGAAGGAAGATACATATGTGAAACTGTGAAGTGGGTGTTAGTGTAATGTTTAAAAAAAAAAAAAACTTGGGAAGCGATCATGGCCTGGAATTTGTTGGTTTTGTATGTGACAGAGATAGTCAGTATGTGACAGCGATAGTTAAGTTAGCGTTAGGTTAAAAGTCCGGTATCTTGCAGACCTAATGTCTGTACAAGATGTAGATAAAAACATATGTATGAGCTTGTTCCAAGTATGAAATCATTCACATAGCTGGCTATGGAATTAGTTAAAGTGCTGGAAATTTAGTACATTTGTGGCTCAAATTTTACCTCACAGGACAGATAAACTCACAGGAACAAATGATGATGGTGGTTCATCTGTGCATAAACTCACATGCAAGATGTCTGTTGTGTTTGATTTCAGCAGGTTGTTCATGGAGTGGGGAAAAAATGAAAAATTAAGAGCAAGGACAACGTGGCACTAAGATTTGGTCTGTGGACTTCAACAGTCGTAATGTCTATGCAGTGATGCATTAGTGCACGCTTAGTGAAGACTGCATATGTATGTGCTGCTGGTATATTTGCAACTATCTCTCAACCTATGAACAAAAGTAAATTTGACTTATTTTATTGGGTTGTAAGGAATGTCATGGTGTTAGCCATGATGGCTACATGGGACCTCCATGTTTAGAGGCAAGTTACCTCTCACTACCCATTGCCAGAGAAGAGAGACAGTTTTTCTGTATATATTGTATTTAATTACTGCATTGATTTCATTGTGAACTGCTTTCGTTATGATAGATGGAGAAGTGGCTGTTAAAGAACCGAAAGCCTTTCTTTTCTACGATAAAAGGGCAGGATGGATAAGGGAAGTGTTGGGCAGAGTGCTCAGCTAATCTCTCTCTCGCTGCAAACGGCTGATTGCAGATGAAAGTGTGGTTTAACCTAGACCTGGCAGGCCCTTTTATCTATTTAGTGCCTTTTTATCTGATCTTTCCTTCAAAGAGCCAGTGTGGTGTAGTGGTTAAGAGTCTTGGACTAGTATCTGGAAGACACAGGTTCGAATTCCCACTCTACCATCATGGGAGCTTGCTGGGTGACCTTGGGCCAGTCACACTCTCTCAGCCCAGCCTACCTCACATGGTTGTTGCTGTGGTGATAAAAGGAGAGGATAACGATGGAAGCCACCTTGGCCCTGGGGAGAAAGGCAGGGTATAAATGAATTGAACAAATAAAAGGCTCAGAAAAGCATTCATGGTTCTCTTCTGTTTTCTGCTCACAACCACCTTGTGCAATAGACTAGGACAAGAAGCAGGACCCGCGATACTCCTGAGGTTGGTGTATTCCCCACGGCTCCCGGGCTGCCAAGGCTTCTCCCCGCCACTGCCACCCACAACAACAGTGGCAAGCCCTGTGCGGCTGTGAGCTGTCAGGTGCACCAGGCTTCTCTCCCCCCCCCCCCACCGCCACGGCAACAATTGGCTCAGCTCCTGGTTGCGGGGCCTGCCAGGCTTCTCCCCACCCCCCGTCTGACAGTGGCAATGGCTGTGGCTCCTAGCCGTCACCCCCACCGCTTCTCCACCCCCGCTGCACCAACCGTGGTGAGCCCTGCGTGGTTCTGCCACAGATCCCAGGGGTAAGTGTGTTCTCTGCGCATGTGCAGGGAATGCTTTTTTACTTTGGGGGGGGATTTAAGTATCCCCCCTATAGTTTTTTAAACTTTTCAGATTTTTCTGCACACCTGAGGACTGCCCCAAGTGTGAAGGAAAATCTCTCTGCCCCCTATGTGTGGATTTAGATATCCACACAGAGGGGGCAACTTGGCTATTAGATAAATAGATGGAAGAGAATGAACGGCCCACAGTCACCCAGTTGAGTTCCGTCAAGGGGGCATTTGAAACACACACACCCACCCCAGGCCAGCGCTCTGGCCATTGCACCAACTGGCTTAGAAACGTTTGTGCAAGCTCTAGGCCATGGAAGTTTATGACAGAATAAATTATTGACGGTACTAGGGCCCTCCTGTTTGTTTTTTTGGGCTCTTGCTGCAGCAACAAAACACGACTACCCTTCTGGGATTTATATCCAAAGCAACAATTCCTATCACAGAGATAGAACAGTACCGGTCCCGAACGCCATGAAATGCATATTGCGTGTCTGATACAAAGCCTGTGCTACTTTTGGGACCAGATTATGAGGCACTAGGACATGTTTTGGGGTGTCCTATCTTCTGTACAAACACTTCCCACAAAATCTAGCGTCACTTTGAGAACATCAATAACAACGCGCCTATTACAGTTGGGCAATCCGACCTCGTTCAGGACGACCTCCGCTTCATCGAGGCTGGCCCCGAACACCCTCGACCCGCCCCCCGTGCATGTTCCACCAATCAGATTCAGGTCAGTCCCCGGCTGTTTGGAGAACTCCAGGCGCGCGGTGGGCGGGGGCTCGGAGCGGTCACGTGAGCCGGGCGACTACGGCCGGCGCGGAGGCAGCAAGATGGCGAAGGTCTCGGAGATGTACGATGTGACTTGGGAAGGTACCGTTGTGGCCGTTAATTTAGGAGGGGAACGGGAAGGTGGAGGGGAAGGGCCGCCGCTCGGCGTGGGGGAGAGTTGTGACTGACGCCTGGCTTAGTCCCGCCCACTCCGAAGCAAGCTCTCTTCAGCAACTTCGCCCGTCGTGAGGAGCGTATGGCAAGGCTGGCGGCCCCTCTTGCGGTGTATTCTCGAATGTCGGTTACGCATATTTCGGAGGCGTTAACCCTGTAATAGCCGTGTGAGCATCCTTTGATTTTTGCCCGCAGTCAGAGGGTGGTAAACGCTTCCACCCCCTTCACATCCTGTTCTCACGGTATGGAAATAGGAAAGCAGGTGGGTGGGGGTTAGCATTTCCCTCCTTCCACTTTATTCGGTCACTCACTGTGATTTACACTTGAGAGGAGACGGATGGAGCATAATGGCAGGGTCTCAGCGTTCCCCAATTAAGAAGGGTACATCTGCCCATCAGTCTCCAATTTTGATATATTTATTTCCTTAACTATGCGCAACCCCCCCCCCGCACGCAAACAAATGGTAGTCATATAAACTAAGCTGCCTATTCCTGTTTGGTCCTTGCGTCTGTCAAACAACTTCATTAAGCTGTGTGCTAAGTTCCTGCTCACCCTCTACCTATATAGCCGCCCTGAGCCCCTTCGCGGGGAGGGCAGGGTAAAAATGCAATAAATAAATAATAAATAAATATGTATGGACCGGCAACTTCCATGTCAGTGTATCTGAAGAAATGTGCGTACACACAAAAACTTATACCTTGAATAAAACTTTGATGGTCTGAAAGGTATCACTGGATTTGAACTTTGTTCTGCCGCTTTAGACCGACAAGGCTACTCACCTGGATCTATTTTACTTAGGCTGTGGTTTAACCCCTTAATCCTCACCTCCAGTCAAAAGGCAAGTCTAAATAGTATAAGCAGCAGTTGTTTACATAATCTGTTGGCAACCTGGAGTCTTCCTCCCATTCTGTTCTTCTCTTCCTTTCTGAACTTGTCAAAAGCATAGATTTTAAGTTCTTTGGGGGCAGGAATCTGCCCACCATGCATTTTGATGTCACTATACAAACAGCTGTGATCACGGTAACTGAAAGATGGTATAGCCCCCATTATGTAGCCACAAGGTATAGATAGGGGCTCTGGGGCAAGTGATGCTCTGTCTTCTTGGTGCTTGGGGGGGTCAACAGTGGGAGGGCTTCTAATGTCCTGGCCCCACTGCTGGACCTCCTGATGGCACTGGTATTTCTGGCCACTGTGTGACACAGAGTGTTGGACTGGATGGGCCTTTGGCCTGATCCAACATTGGCGTCTCTTATGTTCTTATGTAGTGGTTGCAGT